TATATATATATATATATGTATATATATATGTATATATATATATGTATATATATATATGTATATGTATATATATGTGTATATATATATATGTATATATATATGTATATGTATATATATGTGTATATATATATATGTGTATATATATATGTACATATATATATATATATACTGTTTGTGTGTACGTATGTTTCAAAATATTTGTAGCTAGAATCACACTCAGTAAAACTAAACATGCAAAAATTTATTTATTTTTTAACTGTTAATGTGTAAATAATATAATTGATTAGCTTTATTTGATGGTTGTGTTACTCTTGAGACAGGAAGAACCATTAAAATTAGTTGACTTCGTTGTCTCTAAATTCTTAATCATTTAACAACTGTTAGCTGCTTTATTTCTTTTGAAATTAGTTGTTCTCACCCATTTCACCAATGTCTATTCTGTGTGAATCAACCCAGAAAGATGATCATGAGTCTGTGTTTGAAAAGCTGGAACTCGTCATACTACTGGTTTCCTGCTGTCAGTCGAACGTGACTGAACTTCCTTTTTTAAAGGCATGTTAAACAGACAAATGAGTCTGCATTCCCACGGCTTCTGATGTTTAACGCCCATCAGCTTCTTCATGTTTCACCCAGTGTGTGATTGGTGTGGGTTTGTGTGTAGGGCACTAAAAGAGGAAGTGATTCTGGTTGGCTAAGAGATGCAGTAGTCTGATTAGGAGGAGTTTTTGTCTGACTCATTTCTCAGGGGAGGGAAGGAAATATGTGCAATGTGTCTCGCCTCGGTGCACCTTACAGTGTGTGTGTGGGTTTGTATTGTGTGTGTGTAGGAGACAGAAACAAATTCCTAGTGATAAATGGTTGTGGTTGTAACGTTTGTTAGCATTGTACTCTGGTGAGCATGTACAATACGAGTGAGAATCGAAGGGAAGACCCCTCTTTGGATCATTTTTACAGTCATAAAAAGTCAAATGTGAAGCTGTGAGGTCAAGTGTTACAAAGAAATGTTTAAAGCTTTAAAATCCTGGTGTTTCTCTTCTTTTTCATTCATCGTGTTGTCACAATGCAGTGACATTTTATATTACTGGAACATATTGAGCTATTTCATGTTGGCACTAACGGTCATGCCTGAACTCATTTTACATATTTACTATTTACACTGCTGAGAGTTTAATCGCCTTTAGTTATTTTGTTTGAGAAGCACTTTAAAAGGAAATATTGTTTTATCCTCAGGAAGTCACTGTGGACAGCTTCTGACATTTTCACATAAATAATGTTATGCCTATGATTGCAGCCCACTGTCAGGTGTCAGACGGTGGTTTTGTGCACTTCCATCCATCGTCTACTTCTACTTCTTCATTTCCATGCTGACATTTGAAGCCCTCTGCATCCTCTGTGGAAGTGCTTTTCTTCCTTTCCTGCAAAGAAAATAGAAGCACATCAGACATGATCAAACTGTTTCTTTTATTTGTTTGGAGCCTGCAAAAACTGATACATTAATTAAAAGTTTACTACACAGACACAGCTGCCTTCATGTTAGGATTATTTTAACTTTTCTTAGAACTCAAATATACACAACAAAACATACTTGCTAAAATAAAATCACAAAAGTACATTAACATAATTGTCCCACTACATTGCCTTTGCAATTTCTGCTCCTTGAAGTCATTTATTTTTTGTGCCTTCTGTTTGCAGAACTGAGTTCCACCCTGATGGAGAAGATGCAGGCCCAGGAGATGATGAGCGGCCTGAGGATACCGGAGATGGACGATCTCGGACAGTTCTTCCGCTCCCTGCCCACCTCCACTTTGGTGGGCATCGGCGCCCTGACCGCCGTATTGGCTTACTGGTTTGCCACCAGACCTCGCCCCATCAAGCCACCCTGCAGCCTGCTGCACCAATCCGAGGAAGTGCCGGTGAGACTTCCACTTTTCTTGTGCCGCTCTTGTTATTACAAATTCATTGTGTAGACCAGTGGTTCCCAATACTGATCCTTGAGGAACACCATCCTGCCTTTGTTTCCCTGCTTTGACACGCCTGATTTGAATAAATGGGTTATTAACAGGATTCTCCAGAACTTGAGGAAGTAATTCAATCATTGAATCAGATGTGATGGAGTGGGGAAACATCTCAAACATAGGGTGGTGTTCCTCAGGGATCAGGGTTGGGAACCTCTGGTGTAGACGAGAGAAACTGCTTTTTCTGTTAAACTGCAAAGTGAGCACTGAGAGTTACATTGATGACATTTGTTAGAGAAGCTGAATCTGAGTTGTTAAAACTATAGAAGCATCAGCTACAAGACCCAAAACATGAGCTAAAATTCTAAAGCAGCAAAAGTCGGGGTAAAAACTAAAAGTTAAAAAAGACTAAAAGTTGAAAGTAGCAAAAGCTGCAAGTAATCAAAGGCTGGCTAAATACAAAGCTTAAAGTCTTTGCACCCTTTCTCTGAATGAGCTAAATGCTTCGTTATATGAATAGTTAAATATCAGAAAGTATGCAAACACAATTAGTTTGCAAAAACCATGAAACAACAAAAACAGGAAAAGTCTCGTGTGAAATTGATTATAGACGACAAAAAAAATGACGACCTTCCCACAAACTCAGACATGAACAATGTCTCATAAGCGTTCACACATTTCTAGGGCTTTGTTAATAAATCTGGAAAAAACATAATTAAAGGAACTTTCAAACATAAGTTTTTGACCGTGTTCAAAACCTTTCGAAACATCGACTGTCTTTGTTCAAACCCCAAAACCTGTGCTGAGTCATCCAATATAAAAAAGTTACAAATCCAACCAACTGCACTTTTTATTATTTTTTATTTACCATGTCCTGGATGACTGAGAATATCCCTCTGCGTTATCCAGCTGTGGTTTATATTTGATTCAGTTTTGCCCAATCTTGGTACCTAGCTAAACCCTCATCACCATCAAGCTCTAAACCCCTTCTTCACACCTTCATGCCACAGAATTTTGTCTAACCAGTGCAGGTTTTGTTTTTGGGTAACCCTAAAATGTGTTTGCAGCAGTAACACAACAATATAAGGCCAACACAGCTTTCCAATGGCAAGCATAAACAACATATTATAATAAAATAAAATAAAAAAATGTGTGTTATGATTATTGGAGATTTTATAAAATGACATGCTTCCTAATTAACTCCATCCATCCATCCATTATCTTTACCCACTTCTTCCTTTTTTGGGTCATGGGGGTCACTGGTGCCCATATCCAGCAGTCACTGTGCAAGAGGCAGGGGACACAGGGTCCATCACAGGGACACATAGAGACAAACGAGACAAACAACCATTCACACTCTCACTCACACCTAGGAACAATTATGAGTTACTAAGAGTAACTCATAGTTAGTCATAATAGTTAGGGTAACATGCATGTTTTTCGTAAATGGGCTGTACTTATAAAACACCTTTCTATCTTATCAAGATACTCAAAGAACTTTCCAACACAATCTGCGCCCTCATTTACCCAGTCATACAGCACTCTACTGTATCTCAATAAAGATTAATCAGTGCTTTGTCACATTCATACACCGATAGGACACACATCAGAGGCAATGAGGGGTTCAGAGTCTTGCCCAGGGACACTTCAACATGTGACTGCTGGTGGAATCGAACCCCCAACTCTCCCATTGGAGGTTGACTGCTCTAACCACTCTGTCCAAGCTGCCCCAGCTGTGGCTAAGTGGTTAAAGGTTGAGTGGTTAGAGTTGGTCTGTGGGAAGAAACCAGAGTACAGTACCCGTGTCACCCACTAAATGACTCATTTCAATAAAATAAAATAAAAATTCTTTATTCAGTTATCTTCATTGTGAGAATAAACTTAACTAATAACTAAGAATGAATCGACAGTACTAATGTACACACAGGACAAAGTCCAGCTCAGACAGTTTAGTTACCTCCTTAGTACTCACTAAAAGAACAGATTGAAACGTAGGGGAAACAAAGAAAACATATTTTTTAATTACCTCTCCCTTATTCACACAGTTTTTGTGATTGTATTTGTATCTAAATTTTCCTTAGGCTAAAAAAAAAGAAGACATGACCGTAATGTACGTTATCTGCTTTGTCTTTCTTCGTCTCTGTTCGTCAGCATGAAGGTGGAGGTCGGAGATCCATGATGGGTGACCCATCCAGATTGCTGACTCATTACCACGACGATGCCAGGACCATGTATGAGGTTTTCCAAAGAGGCCTCCATATATCTGGTGGGTTTGATTTCAGCCAAAAGTCATATCATTTGGTCTTTTCTATCCTTTTCAAAAGCCTTCTTTTCATTTCATGAAGCTGTTAAAGCTTCTTTTAGGCAAGGAAGTTAGAAATTAAATATGTTTATTTTAGACTAAAACAAAGAACACACAAGCTTAATGGGAAGAGATTCAGGTAAAAATATGTAATTGGTTCCAACTTTAAAGCACTAAAAGTTGGTTTAAGGTGTTTAAATTCTTAACTACAGTGGCTTTTAAAAATAATTTTACTCATTGAGATGAAAAATTATTATTGTATTATATATATATATATATATATATATATATATATATATATATATGACAGTTTTGGTTCCTTTTTGGCTTTTTTGGCTTGTATTGCTATGGATCGAAGAAGCGAGACACCACAAAATGCTAAAAAAAAAAATCTGTTCCATCTAAAATTATTTATTGTAAAGGAAAAGCAGTGTTGGCTAAAATAAATTACCGGTATTGTACATTTTAGAAAGACAGTGCAGCCTAAAATAAATTACTGTACATACTGGAAAACAAATGCAAGTACTCATATGTACAATATATATATATTTTTATCAATCTATTTCTGTTGAAATCTGATCTGGGTGCAAATAAAACTTCTTTAGGGTCAGGATGGATCGCAGTCTGCCATCTGGCAACCCCTATACTAAAGTGTTTATACAGCAGCCTATATAAAAAAACATTCATAAGTATAGCATTTAAAAAAACAGTGTAATATGGTACCAAACAAAAACAATTACAAGGACATTGTTATTTTATTACCAGCAACAAATGAATGAACAGAGCCTCAAACAAAGAAAAAAAAAAAAGGTTCCAAACCGGTTTCCATTATCATGACCAGTTCAGTCAAATGAATATCTTATTAAGGATGAACGTCTTTACTGGATTAATTTTAACAGTTCAGGCTATTTCACAGTCAATATCTGTAATCTTTAATCATCAGAATTACAAGCAATAAAGGCTTGAAATGTGTCACTCTGTGTAATGAATCTATGTAATATGAGTTTCACTTTCTGAAATGATTGGCATAAAAAATTGAACTTATTCACAATATTTAAATTTTTGGAGATGCACATGTATATTTCCCTGAGAGCTGTGGACAAATACAGATCACCGTAACCTGTCAATTATTTTCTTGTTGCTGGAGATAAAATACTTCTCTGACTGACAAGGTGATGGCCATGTTTGCTTAAGTCTTGAATTGTTTGTGATTGACTCAAAAAAAAAAAAACATAAATAAATAAAATAATCCATTTAACAACTCTGTAAGTGCAATAGTGTTTCTTTAGATGTTAGCCAAGCATTATAAAAAGCAGGCGTGGTAATAAATAACCAGAATTATCTTAAAAAGGGATTGATCGAATGGTCAATTATGCAATACTTATTCATTAATCACAAGAAAAACATTTGTTCACAAATGTCAAAGTGTTTTATGAACTTTTGACTATTTATTTTAATTACTATTATTGGCACACTAACATGGCGTGTTCAGCTTTACTATCTGTGTTTTATAAATTGTGTAAAGAAACTATGAAAATCTTTTTGAGATCACTTAAAAATACTTTGTTTGGAACAGCAAAACTGAAAGAATAATTAAACATAAAGTGATTTTACCTTCTGATTACTCACCAGGAGATGGACCCTGCTTAGGCTCTCGGCTCCCTAACCAGCCTTACAAATGGATGTCCTACAAAGAGGTTTGAGGCCTTCACATATAAATGAGTTGAAGTAGACTTTTGGCTCTACTGAAATATACAGTAACTATTCCAATTGTCTTTCTTGCACTGACTTCATACTACGACTCCATGTGATAAAACCTGCAGGGTGCTTTTCAGTGATGTTCTTAATATAAAATGATTTATTTAAGTTAAAAACTACATCTATATTGTTTAAACCAGGAGGATATGCACTGCATGGATACCAACCAATTAAAAAGAAAATGCATAATAGGCTGTGGTCAAATCAATACCTATAAATAAGAGTGAGTAAAAAAAAATGAAGTTCATTGATTCTGGAGATGAATTTATTGTCAATTCTGACAGTTTCTGAAATGAAATATTACTTATTTTATTTTTTGGCGATACAGAATATGTAAAATCATCTTCTTACAGCTCCTATTTACATTGGATATCACACAGTTTTGTAGTTTTGGCGGGATCTTTGTTAGTCCGAAGCTATGCCTGATCCCTTACAAAATATCTCTTGAACCGCTGGGCAGGTGGCTCAATAATCACGACACACATTTCTAGATGAACATTTGGAGTAACCCAATTCAAGATGACTACAACAGCCAATTGACCATAGCAAACACAAAAACAGCAACAACGCTATCTATTTAATGGATATTAAGCTAAAATGTGTTGTGAAACTTGTCAACATGCACTGAGTACAAACGGATTGAGTGACATGCTTAAAACCTGACGTGCATGGCACATTTCTTCAGAAAAATGCTAGGTATTTGAGTTCTTGTCAGAGTCAGAGTCAGAGTCAGAGTTTCTTTATTGTCATTCGCACCTCATGTGGTACATGTGGTGGAGCGAAATTATGTACACAGGGTCCCAGTTACATCCAACAATAAAATGTATAAGAAAAACAGTAATAACATCTAAGATATGAACTAAGAAAAACATCAACTAAATATACACTAAGCACTCATAACATAAAACATTGAACATCACCACAAACATGAACATGAGTCTGTGAGCGGATGTGCACGCATGAACACATCAACATTGAAACAGATCAGCAGCAACATGAAACAGATCAGCAGCAACATGATATGGTTTTTCACAGTGATTATTCTAGTTAGAGATTCATGAGTCTAACAGCCTCAGGGTAGAAGCTGTTCCTCAGTCTAGTGGTTCTACACTTAATGCTCCTTAACCTCCTTCCTGAGGGGAGTGGGGCAAAAAGTGTGTGTGCTGGGTGGGTGGGGTCCTTCATGATGCAGGTAGCCCTCTTCCTGCATCTGGAGGTGTAGATGTCTGTGATGGTGGGGAGACTGACTCCAACAGATTTCTGTGCAGCCTTCACCACTCTCTGCAAAGCTTTTCTTTCTGCAGCTGTGCAGCCTCCATGCCACACATTGATGCTCGAGCACAGGATGCTCTCCACTGCACACCTGTAGAAGGAGGTGAGGACTGAGCTTCCCAGACCAGCTCGCCTCAGCCGTCTGAGGAAGTAGAGTCTCTGATGAGCTTTCTTGATCAGGCTGGTGGTGTTGTTGCTCCAGCTGAGGTTGTCATTCATGTGTACACCCAAGTACTTGTAGCTGGAGACCACTTCCACCGCAGATCCTCTTATGTTCAGGGGGGTGTAGGTGTTTTTGTTCCTTCCTCCTTGTAATATCTTTACAGGTAATAATGTGGTTTTGATTGCTTGTTCTGTCGAGAAAGTTAGTCATACACATCCAAAAATAGCTGAAAAGTTTTTTTAAAGGGGCATAAAGAAGTCTATTGTGAGTGATTAAAGAATAACTCCTCCCCTCAGCCATTTATCAGTGGCATCATGTTGTTTTACAGGAAAATGAGTGGGTGGAAGCATTCCAGCGAAGCAAATCTGGACCTGCTTCTACTCATTCACAGAGAATTGCCCCCACGCTCTAACGGAATAAATTTCCAAATACAGTAATCCAAGATAGAAAAAAAAAAACAGAGTTGGAATCTTTTGCTGAAATGTGAAAGACTATTCTTTGCTGTCTTGCAACATAGGTCTTTCCTCGTATGTCTTTCACCATCATGGTAACTTTTTGTGTAATTTTACACTTATTTCTACAGACATATGAAAACTGTGGATGTTTCCAAAATGGGTTTTAAATAGGCACATGATCATCGGTTGCATCTTATTGCTAAAGAATAGTAAAATAAATAGGAATTGACTCTTTTAGACAAAACAATAATTTTGCACAAATAAAAAAGAGACGTCCTAACTATCGTATATGCCTCATGGGAATTAAAAATAGACAATAGGATTTTAGTTAAGTTAAATATCACAAATGAAAATTGACATATACTTTTTTTTTTTTTATTTATTAATTAATTTGTATTTAAATATTCCGATCATCTTACTTCACAGGTGTCGGCCCGGGCAGAACATCTGGGATCAGGACTTTTGCACCAGGGATGCCAGCCAAACCCCAACCAGTTCATTGGAGTGTTTGCTCAGAACAGGCCGGAGGTGACTCCTGCTATTTTAATTTTCCATGATGATGTTTATCTTCAAAGAACATGTTTTATTAACATGACCAAAGTTTGACTTTTTGTGTTGCCTTTGTGTTCTGTCATTTCAGTGGATCATTTCAGAGTTAGCGTGCTACACCTACTCCATGGTGGTGGTTCCTCTTTATGACACCCTTGGCGCAGATGCTATACGGTTCATCATTAACACTGGTAGGAAAATAAACATCACACTCACTGTCAGAGATGTATTAATCAAGTAACTTGCGACCAAAATTGTCGGAGTTTTTACTTTGAACCGCCATATCAATGGCTTTTCATACGATACTCAAAATTTCGACTTGTTTTCTTGGTTATTGAATGCACCATAGCTAAGCGCGGCTAATTTATGGCTAGCATTAGCATATTTTTTGATGTGGTAGCTTTTATTTAGTAAATACTCAATTTTTGAGATAACTGGAAGCTGTTTAAAAATGAAGTTGTGGGAAACACAAAAGGGGTAAGAGGTTCTTATAAATAAAGCTGCATGTTTTACTGTTGAGGCTTTTCATTTTCCTGTGTTAGCTAGTGTGCACTTATTATGAAATGTGACAAAAGCGGTTTCATGTTTCAATTTCAATGTATAAAACAAAACCGCTTTTGTCACATTTCATATCTATATATATATATATATATATATTTATATATATATATATATA